ATTTGCAGGAAACGGCGGTAGTTGCAGGAGAATTATACTTTTTAGGATTAACAGTACATTATTTTGAAAATAGGTCGGAATGGAATTCATACAATATTTACTTAATCCTTGCCGGATATTTTGTCATGGTTGCGATTTATTTGGTATCATATAATGCTAGTTTTATAATAACAGAATTAATTGGAATGAAATTAAAAATAGCTTTTTGCACGATTATATATAGAAAGGTGAGTATCAATTATAATGTATTGTGAATATATTATTATATTTATATTCTTTAGAAAAAAAGACATTTTCAAATAAAAGTTTAGCTATGTGCTTAAGTTTTCTATGATTCGTTGTTAATTTACACAGTACAGTAATATGCGTTTTATGTTCGCATTATAGAATTAAATTTAATTAACATGGATACAAAATGTTCAATTCACTTTTGTGTTGTTTTCATGTTAAGTGAATAAATATTTCAATAGGATCTGCCACTGTCAATGACTATAATAAGCAAAGGTGACATAATGATAAAAATATTGGTGGGCTAATGCCATAGAAATGGCATCGCTTATAACAATTTATGTACGTGCAATTATTTATATGACTTGATTGTATTTCCCTGGGTGCCCTAACTGCAATGTAGCAAAGTTACTTCTGTAGTCGTTGGATACAAAGAAACTATGACAATAGCAAATTAACAAAATGAACCCTTCAGACTTCTGTGCTGGCTTCGTACAAAACCAAAGAGTACATATAAAAATGCGTGAAAGTGTTTTTCAATTTGATATTTGTTTTTACCATAAACAGAAAAGTACGCTTAAATGTACTCAAATTGTCGCAGTTTACAACTTTTGTACCACGTTATTAAATATAAATATGTAAAATTTAGTGTTTTTTGCATTTTCCAAGTAAGTCTCAGTTAAATAAATAGCAATTTATATTATTTTGGAAACATATCTTTACATGTCAATATTTCTTTTATCTTTATTAACATAGGCAAGTGTTGTCTTACACGGTTAAGGTAAACTGACACATTACTGTATATATATGTTATATATCGTACTACTTGAATGTGCTTTCCTGAAAATAATATTCTGAAACTGATTGCTGATAACGAACTATTTATACGGTTAACTTAAGTAAAGATTGTGGGTACCTGATGGTTTTGCCCACTTGCCAGGGAATGGCTTGTTTACGGGTTACGATCCCGAGGGGTCGAAATCCTGTTTATCAGGTCGAGTGGAGGAGAAGAGAGGGGTCGTCGATAAGGCGTAGGCGATATGCGAGTAAATGATAAGTTAAGTAAAGATAATAAATGAATTTTATAATCTTTATAATTTGCTTTATAATGTTGTCAATCTATTTATTATTCATTTGATCTGTTAGAATTACTTTGTAAAATTTATAATTCAACGATGATCACAAAAGTAATTGAAAACAATATTACTTTATGTGTCTTATTACAAGATAAATTAAAATAACTATTTTTCATTATTTACAGATTTTGTTGTTTTAATGTCTCTAATTTGATATTGCCTTTGCTTGGACAACGGAATTTTCGGCCTGTAGTCTTGTTACGTGGCTTTTTCAGGATGATAGACTATCATTGTAAAACATTTAGTACATTCTGCTTTCAGACTATTAATATTTTTGTTTATTATGTTGTTATGCTATTCAGTACCTTCACCAAACTCTGTATTTCGTAATTTCATTAAGAGTTTTTAACTTATAAAGCTCTTAATTTAAGCATTTTTTATTTTTACCAAATGCCAAGTTTTCTGTTTTACACGCGTTAGCTATCAAATCGTGTACAAGTTTGACGTTTTTATTGTAATACTTTGATCATTAGGTACTTTTTAATTTGTATATCTAATATATTAAATTGTGCAACAAACTTACAACAAAGTATTAAAATGACATCATAGAAATTACTTCTGGCTCATTGGTTATTAAATGTTTTAACATTTTTCTGAGTATAATAAAACAATTAATTCTATTCGAACGAGCTAAAATAAAGCCAAGAGTTTTTGTTTATAGAGTACTAAAACATTTAGCAGTTTATTAGCCTTGTTTATGCCTATTAAAGTTTTGTGTATTATTTTCTCAGGAGACAATAAAGAAAGCTTTGTTATTTTGACTTTGACAGTTAAATCTTCTTAAATTTCACTCGAGTATCGAGTTAATTTGTAGCAATTTGAACATTGATACATGTATTTTTCGTGTTTTTTAAAAAAATTAAAAAAATAAACATAAAAATTCATTATTTGAATCAAGAAAAATTTTATATTGTTAGACAGTACGCAAAATACAGAAATTGAAGTTATAAGTGTAGTTTTTAATGCCATGCCAATTTTTCCCAATTTAGAAAAAAGTAGTGTATTTGTGATGCCAAGCACTTAATTAACCCGTTATTTAATATTAATTCAAATAATGGCAAAACTTGTTGAAAAAGTTAGATAATTTTATTTCATTTCTTTGTGTAACAACTTTGTTATAAATTACTTTGTTATTGGAACATAACATATTTTTGAGAATGTTTATTTATTATATATAAATTTTTTATAGGCAATGAGGTTAAGTCCTTCATCTCTTGAAAAATCGAATGTTGGGCAAATGGTAAATCTTGTAGCAAATGATGTCAGCAAATTTCAAAATGTAAGTTGAAGTTATTATTCTTATAAATATAAATACACTTTGTGTAACAACTTTGTTATAAATTACTTTGTTATTGGAACATAACATATTTTTGAGAATGTTTATTTATTATATATAAATTTTTATAGGCAATGAGGTTAAGTCCTTCATCTCTTGAAAAATCGAATGTTGGGCAAATGGTAAATCTTGTAGCAAATGATGTCAGCAAATTTCAAAATGTAAGTTGAAGTTATTATTCTTATAAATATAAATACACATAGTGTATTAATATTTTTATCTGCTGTAATAAAGTTACACGAAGATATAAAGATTATTTTGTATATTAAATTCAATTACAGGAAAATGTGTTCACTTCAAAATCTCTGTTTAATTTACTATCAATTCTAATTTGGATTAATTCAGGCTGATGATTATAAATTCGAGTAATGAATGGTTACAATGTCAATCTGTCATATATACAAATATAGTAGAAATATAACTGATTCTGTGGGTCTCCTGGACCCATGTCACATTTTCGATGTTGTTTATCAGCCGCTGAAATTCATTTCTAGCTGAACCCATTTTTCATTAACCAATACTACCTCAATTACTACCTAATATGGATTAATTCGGGTAGATCAGGGGTGTCCAACCCGCGGCCCATTCCAATGCGGCCCAATAAACGTGTAAACAAAACCGACAGATTTATTTGTTTTATTTTATTTATTTATTTATTTCAACGGCACAGATTAAAAAAAGACGTTTCGCAAAGCAGTAAATCTTTACACATACTTTAATTTTAAGTGGAAAGGAAACATTTTCAAAAACTTAGAAATGTGTGAATGAGGAAGGTATATTAAATATAGCTGAAGTTGTGAATCAAAGGAGTATAGACACAAATTCGGGGAAAGGAGAGAAAGGCCGAAAGAAAAAAATATAATGAGAAAGGTTAAATATACGAATAAAGCTTTTTCTTGTTAAATGAGAAAGGTTAAATATACCTTTTGTTATGCAAATATTGACCCTTAATTTTTCAACTTTCCTCACTTTTTTATCTTGGGTCTTTTCTCTTCTTTTCTTGCTTTGGGTCTATAATCTTTTGAGTCCCAACCTCAACTTTATTTAGTACTCCTTCCAGAGTTGCAAGATTTGCCTACTTTGCGCCAAATTTGGCTACCCTTTTATTAGTTTGGCGTAAAAAATATCATTTGACGCATTGGCTACTTTTCGGGTTACACATTATTTATAAATATATTAGTTGAATAAAAATGCACTTTAAAATGGTGTTTCTTCACTTTTTATTAATTAGAGACCCAAATAAAACAAATATTTGTGTTTTTCAAATAAATTTTTGTTTATCTCCTTTATAATAAATGAATTTATTTATTTCTAAATAAAAATTGAAAGTGTCTGTAGAAGTAATTTTTTAAAATATCCTTATTCGTAATAAAGTTTTAATGCTTATTACTATAATCTAGACATGTTAGTTCTTAAATATACTTGTATATTTAAGGATTTGGCCAAAATATACTTGGGCCACAAGTATATATGTATTATACTTGTGGCCCAAAACTCCATGACTTCTTCCAATGTGGCCATTAAACAAAAAGGTTGGACACCCCTGCTATAGAGTATAAATTTAAAGAGTGGAAAATAAATGTCATATGACCTTGCGTGATTGTGTTTACATGTATTTTATGCAAAATATGTTAGTAAAGGATTTACAAGCTTTACACTCATTGATAAAACACTAAAATCTGCCATCGTTTTATATTCATGCCGACAAAATAATGTTACTAAAAAATTCAAAACAACGCAACAGCTTGCCTGAATTGAAAATGTAGAACGATGTTTTTCACATTCAAAACTTATATAAATTACTGAAATTTCTGAATATTTAAAAACTCAAATTTTAATTATCGATAATCTATCAACCTGCAACCTCTTGTCCTGTAGTAGTCAAATTACAGAAAACTTGTTAAAAAAGTAAACTAGTTCATGCAAACTTAACATATTCTATAATTTCTATAATAATTATACTGAAATTTATATTACTAGTGATCGAATTTATAGTATTATGTATACAACTGGTATTGTTATTTATTACAGAATATTCACGGAATTCCATATTTATTTTCAAATCCTTTTTCAATTATCACTATGATAGCGATATTATGGCAATATTACGGATGGACTATTTTACTAGGATTCTTGGCCATATTTCTCTACATTCCTATACAATTTCTTTTGAGTAAACTATATTCAAAATTCAGGTAATTATTATATTTTAATTTTTGACTTATATAATTGTAATAAACTTATAAATGAGATAAAGAAATAATTCATAAGTTAGTTATCATTAATAAGATTGAAATACAGATATTTCATGAGTAAAATTTCATACATTAGTTGAAATCTAGAGTTAAGGCTGATGTTGGAGATGATGGGATGACCAAGAGCATTAACCGTTTTAGCTCGAGTATTGTTTGCATGACATTTCAACTATTGCGACTAATGCATTTGTTTGGTAATAGCGTTTGTTTATTTCCTCTTATAAAGCTTATAATTTGCGCACATGATATCATATAATTTTTCGAATTTTTGTGAACCGTGCACGATTTTCTGGATTGCTTCATTTAATGTATAGAAATTTCAATTATTCTTGTCTTCACAATTAGCAAACATTTTATGTCTTTTGTAATATTTCGACTAATCTTTATTTTTGAATTTAAGTAATTGAATTATTATAACTGCATTAAGATGCCGCATAAAAAATTAAAAATAAGATGAAATTTGTCAGATTTAACACAATTACTTTTCAAGTTTAAAATAATACTTACTTCTGCATACAAAATAATATATTGACACTTTATAAATACGTTTACAAATAAACACTTTATATCGTTTATAAATACGTATTTTTTTTTAAAATATATTCTTAAATCAATTAGATGTTCATTGACATTAACATTATGGAATGGAATGGGACCACGTCTCCACTCTTTCTTGTGAAATTTTTTCATATTTTTTAATCTGAACTTTGTAACTTACAGCTTCTGTTTATATTTGAAACAAACCATGTAACAATTGGAGAAATTTATGGTTATTTGTAGCAAAGAAAAATTTGATGCAGTATATTTATCTTTTACTTTTTCGAAGCAAATTACTGTAATGAAAACATAAAGAATGCACAATTAAAACATTAATTGAAATAACTAATTAAAATGCCAGGGATGTAACTAATACATTACAAAAACTCAAATAAATAAAATTAGCACAACAGTGTCTTATTTATTTCGAAACGTCCTTTACACACTTCCGGAACATCCAGTCCTTCCTCCTTCAGTAATTGAGATTTTGTAGTATATAAAGAATGCATTTTTTTATTTGCTGGTATTATATACTGTACTGTTTTATACACGGTGAAATACTTGGTGGAACCAATAATGTTTGTTGAAAGGATGCTAGCAACAAACTCTTAATTTTATTTTAAATTTTTCATGCAAAATACAGTGAGTACTTTGTATGCAAAAGTTTGCATTTTCACTTTGTATGCAAAAGTTTGCATACAAAGTGAAAATGTTAAGAATTACAGCATTACCAGAAAATAAATTTATTAAATGAAATCTTTGTCACATTTAAGTGTGTTAATAGCACATAAATAATAGAACTGAAAAATTTCTGAAAAATATAAATGAATAATTTAATAATACTATATCTCTTTAAAAGTAACGTTAAAAATATGAATACAAAGAGTATATTTTGTTGGTCACCTTTAGCTTACTCGAAGCTATTTTTTCATAAGTCATGTGGAATTTTTTCCCATTTTTTCTCATTTGGTCTAAAACTCTAATAACTGCTTTTACTCTGATTTGAAAATTTATGGCTTTTTCTAAACTTTGCCCATAGATGTTTTATGAGGCTGATGTCAAGTAATTGTGGAGAAATCAGCAGAAAATGAGGAATATTATAGGCAGTCCATTGATTCACAATATAAAAACAATGTTTGGGATCATTAAATTGCTGAAAATAATATTTTATGGCATTATATACGTACAGTGACCATATTTTTGGGGGGAAAATAAAGGACATATCGAAGAAAATCAAAAAATACCTTATAAAATTCATAAGTTTATAACATTTATTACGAAAATAGTAGCATACAACAATGCATACATTAAAATTTTAAACAATCTGAATTATTACACATACACACATTGTAAAAATTTAAATAACATTAATTTTGATACTTTTCAGTAGAATTAATTTTTTT